AACAAAAAGATTCGTAGAAGAAAGAAGAAGAAGAGTTGAAATGGGTAAAAAAAGTGGGACCTATTAGTTATAATTTATTTTGGTTTCAACCACTAAATGTAACTAAAAGGAAGAAAGTTAGAAAAAAGTGCTCTAGTAGTGGAAACTGCCTTATTATGTTATAAAAAACTTAAATCTGCCTCTGGATGTAATATTTTCTATCATCTAACCAACCATATATCTACTGACGACACCTATTTTGTAAAAATCTTACCACACAATAAGATGTACATGTAGATAGTGTAGGATAGATGTACATATAGACATGGTTTGGGTTAATAACTCCATAAAAATAAGCTTATGGTTGTATATATTTATCCACACAGACTAAGATAATATGTAGACAAAGTAGGATCTAAGGACGCATTTGATAAATAAACCCACAAATATAAACTGAACTTTCAAGAGGAAGGAGAAGAATGAGAGTGAGTATTTCGAAAAAGGCTCAATGAGGGAAGGTTGGGAGTCCCAAAATAATCATCCAACATTCACCATGCAACATATCAAAAGCTCTAGCTCGAATATCCAGCAAAGCAAGAGAAATCAACAAGAAATGTTACATAAATTGGCTCACGCGTTATCCACCACCAAATTCACACCATCACGCCACCTCATTTAGTCCCCACATGACACGAGCAATCCCGCTCTGATGATGAATCATGTCACCTTATTTGGTCCATGCATGACTCAACAAGAAACGATGCAACGCCCGAGATGTAATTCTCTCAATCACATTGCACCGGCAACCACAAGCCTTAAGGCTCAACCTATCTCATATACTCTACCAATACATGCTTAATCAAACATCCACATACGAGTTTCCATCATCATACGACCGTATTCATCTAGCAACCTATGAATATATTTAGGTGTTCACACGTTACAATACAATATATAGGTATACTAGTATGTTGGTCTGTGCTTTTCCAATTACAATAATAAAGCGCCATATATATTTGGTAAAATATTTATGATATCTATATATAATGGAGGTTAGTTAAAGATACTAAGTGGTGGAAGTTGATAGCAAGATTTATGGATGGTGAAGAAGAAAGTGAAAGATATTATGCTTAGAAAGGGAAAATTAAATAATAAATGCACAAACAATTGAGTTTATCTCATTGAGATGTAACAAATTAAAAAGAATAATTGTCAAAACGTGTTTGAATAATGTACATTTCTATTGTGCTTACACAAAACATAGTTCTGTCTACTTTGTTTATCACAAAAATAATTACAGATATTTTCTATAAAAATATGATTTTTTTGAAAATCATTTTGTTAAAAATAGAAAATAGTAAAGGACATATGTCACTCACAGAATTATCAATTTACTTATATTTTATTGTATAAAAGATATGTGTTATAGTTCATTTGTCAAACAAATATGTGTATACTTATAAATAACACACATGTATGAATGGTTTAGTTAGAAACTATTACTATGAAGCGATAATGAAAGAAGAAAGAAGATATCACATCAATAAGCACATTAGCCTTAAATCTGCGAATAGAAAATAGAGAATAAACAGATCTGCAACACAAAGTTTTTATCGAACCATATCTACAAGAGCAAGGATTGGTGCTATCACCAAAAAAACACCAGATGAGAGATTTGAGATAAAAGAAAAGAAGAAGATGGAGAATAAGAGAATTAGGGTTTACATACCATTACTGGTGCCCAGATCTAGAAAGAAGAGATCTAGACAAAGACTCGGATCACCTCGTTGTGGATCTCTTACGACTTGGTCTGTCTCTAACAGAGTGAGAATACTCAAGGTGACAATGTCAAGGTGGTTTCTTTGATGGTATCATACCGAAAAGAAGAGAAGGTGATAAAGAAGAAGGGAAAAGGAAAAAAAAAATCGGGTGGAATAACCGTGGCCCTGGGGACAATGTTTAAAGTCTTCTACACCAGGTCTGAGGTTTGACTCCTAGAGTATACAGTTTCTTGCAGATTATAGAATACAAACTTTTTGGAGGTTTCAGAGTACAACGGGTAGAGCCATTCATTGTGATCGTGGGCTGCGGAGAGAGCTTGTCCATCGAGGGTGTCATATATGCATAACCGTTTGTCGATCCGAATGAAACGGGAGAGCATCGTCGTGAAATTGTCCGTGAAATTGTTCATTGATATTGCATATGTTGCATGTAGTTTATCATCATTTGTATTAGAAATTATATAATGATGTAGCCAGCACTATGAAAAAAAATAAGAAATAACCCTAAGCGAAGTGTTTAATTTTTAAAGAAAAGGAATTATAAACTTTAAAATTTACTACGCGAATTGGAATAAGAAGAAAGGAGAAGAGGAGTTTGGATCCACACTAATAAAAGAAAAAACGGATTGGGATGTGACAATAGTACATAATGACAATAATAGGCATGTGTGTTTTGATAAAACAGAAACTGGCGTCAGTGGCAACAAATATAGCTACGACGGAAGTATGTCAGCCGCCGCATCAATCGCCAAGGATTGGTTTGAGACAGAAAACTGGAATTGTCGCTGCCGCTGTTATTTCTAGCATCAGATGTGAGGTTGTTATTATTTGATGTACTGACTGAGAAACAAATCTCCTTTGCTGCAACTGATGTATTGGCCTTAATCGTAACTGTTATTTTGAACTATTGCCGCTGTCGCTGGCTTTAACTAAACGAACAGGCCTAATAAAGCAAATCACTACATTCACAATGAATATTTAAAATTTCAGAGTTAGCCTAATTGTAAAGCCATTTGATTGTCGGTGATGTAGTGATCATTTGAGAGGAGTACGTAGGTCAGTGATTGTTGCACCACCTATGCTATCATCTCACCAACCAGGGTTCGAATTCTACACATGACTCTAATAAGAGGAATTACTATGTGATGAAGAAATAATATGTAATAATCCTAAGAGTCACATGTTCTATTTAATTTTAGAATGTTTTTTTTCTCCAAAAAAATGTTAGGAGATTACTGGTTTCTGGCCAAGTCTATTAAAAAAAAAAGAATTTTTAAGCAATCTATTGACATCTGGATTATTCGCGTCTTGGAAAGTATGGTTTATTAAATTCAAATGTAACATGCGAATCTAAGTTAAAGGGATCCTGGTTATATGACCCACGAGCAAATGTTTTGATTTCGGTGGCAAAGTTCTACCAACAAGAATAGTAACTGTGAAAGATAAAGAAAGACATTTGAAAAAAGAACAAACTCCATCTGAAAATTTAAACCCACACAAAGTGTGCACCGTTTCTCTACTCTACACATAAGCTCAATATAAAAGTTTTCATAAATGCTGACTGTAAACAGTGAAAAGAGTACTATTCTGATGGTCTAATTGCTCGTCTCCTACGAAGACCACATCTTTTAGAAAGTTCCATCCATAATTCCAACTCAAAAGAGAAAAAAAATGTGAATGGATCTTCTGTGTCAGAGTTCTGACTTCAAAACCTTGTAGGATGCATCCAAGAGCGTTGTTGGGTTTGAGAATCTACAATAAGCTTTTCTTCACCTGTTCTGCCTACGTTTGCGAAAATGTCTGAGGATGAAACTGTCTGCATAGAGAGGATACTTCTTCTTTATTAGACCTTTTATGCATTTCCAATACGAAAAGTCAACTAGTTCTCCATCTTTTCGAACTATAAACAAACATCGCGACCTCTCGAATTCTGGGTGATGCCCAACCTGCAACGAAAAATGCAAAGCAATCAAGATACTACAACTTGATGCAAAAGACTTACATATGAGACAAAGAACACACTGAAAGTGTAGACAAATACTTGAAACCGAAGTCAAATTGTCCAAGAAAACAACTTTCAGAAGATGTAGAAGGTCTTGTTAGTAAATGTTCATGTTGTTTCCGAATCTAGAGAAAGCAAAATACATACCATGATATAGTCTATTCCACATCCGATCTTCTTCTCAACTTCAGGGTGATAAGGAAGAAGCATCTCAACAATTGTTTTTTCGTGCTCAGGGCTTAGCCTATCTCGGTTTGCATATCTGTAATTTGAAATGCAAACAGAGATTCATAATATTATATCGGTTTGAATATCCTTTTTTTTTTTTTGCTTTTGAAGATAATCATAGAAAATCTGGGCAAGCTTAACAAAAGGACTAGTAAAAAATCACTACTCGCGGACTGGATTACACTAGTTCAGCCCATGTCAACTGCAACTCAAACCAATTAAACTGGAAAAATTCCTCTTACAATATGTTTTTCAAGCATCCATCCATATATAGTATATGCCAGGAAGGGAATGCAAGAATCAAAATACAGCAGCATCGACCATAAAATGCAAGTACAAAATCGATTTTCTCTCGATCCTAGCTAAGGGAGATAGCAACTATGAAGGAAGCCTCAAATTTGGTTCGAACAAGATGCATCATTCTACTCTTTGGTTTCGAAGCTTAAGCGTAGAAAATCTGTTTTGGAGGAGGTTGTAAAAAAGTAGTTTTTCCTTACAACTTAATTTAACATTCATTAAAAAGAAATGCCTAGAGAGAGAGAGAGAGAGAGAGAGAGCTACCAAATGAATCAAGAAAGTCATATATAACCAGCAGTAAAAAAGCACAAATATTCACTCACATATTTCTTTTGGCATTTCACATCTAAATCCATACTTACACCAGTCATGGAGCTAAAAGACAAGAAATCTACAACGAAAATCAAGAAATGCTTCAAATAACTAGAACCATTTCCAAGTTATTGAGAAAACCTCAAGCACAATTAGATAACAAACACACAGTTCAAGTATGAATTTACCTCCTAAATGCTTATAGTAGCAAACAGTTTCATGATTTTGATCGAAATAAAGAGATAAGAAATTCGAAAACAGCAGACGTACTTTCCGGAATGAAGAAGCATCCTGACGAAGCCAACGAGAGGAACCGTAACCTCCAGAATTTTATCTTCCCAATCCACAAACTCATCACCTTCCCCGCTTTCTTCATCCTCCTCTTCGGAACTTTCCTCCGACGAACTACGCGGCCGACGAAGCAATTCCGAGCCGTACGACTCCGTGTTACCGATCCTAGCGCCGTCCGATTCCGTTCGCAAGGAGCGAACTCGAGGCCATGCTGAGTCACGCGGGAAATAAGAAGAGAGGGGCGAAGGAGAGAAGGAGAAGATGAAAGATCGGCAACGGAAACAAGGCGAAGCCACTGGCGGCGTCGAGGAAACGGAAGCTAAGTTCATTCCGGAAGAGTTGAGTTATGGAGTAGAGAGAAAGAGAGCTAAACGGTTACATTATCCATTCGCAGACGTGTACCGTGGAAAGATTGCGACCAGAGGATAGAAGAGGAACTTTGCGATTGATTCTTTTTTGGGTCTATTGGACCTCATAGTTTTTTGGGCTGTTTTTATCTCTAACGTTTTGATTAGTACACATGTATGCGCTTTCAATTTAGTTTTGGTTTGGTTTCAGTTCAAATTTTTTAGTTTTTTTTTGGTTCAGAAGATTTAAGAAACACTCAAGTATTTGTAAACTAGAACTGAACCAAAATACTTAAAACTGAACCAGACCGAACCCCTCAAATATCCAAATAGTTTTTATATTTTTATATCCAAAATAACCAAAATAGATCGAAAATCAAAGGGATCGTAGAGTTCTTGCGAGCGGTTTGAACTTGTTTGGTAGAATTAGGCGGAACTTTAACGACCAAAATTCCAAAGGTGAATAGTAGAATCTTGCTTATAAATATGTGGAGTAAGTTTTCAAATTCTTTACTCACTTCTTTCCACATAATTTTTTCTAAAGTAGAGAAAATTTCTCTCTCTTTCTTTCTCTCTTTGAATCTTTCCATACTTGTTTGTTAAGCATGTCTACCGAACGAAGAATTTCAGAATGTGCCCATCCGTCAATTATCTATCTGAGCGATCTTGATTGTTCCCGTGTTAACGTACTTCCTGCACCGGTATTTTTAAGATTTACCGCATATAAAGAGGAGATTGGGAGATATTTGGAAGCCGTGCATGCTGCCGAGGTCCCCAAGGGTAACTTCTGGGTTCCTTCGAGGCCTAGATCAATGAAGAGACAAAAAGGTCCGACCAAGAGTATCGTTCGTTCCCTCAACGTTATGTGGAGCTCTCGCATGATCCCAGATTCGGTGCAGTTTTGCCTTTCCGAATGTGGTCAAGATGCCAAGCCTCCACCTCCGGATTACTTTACGTGCTACGAGGATTTTTTGCTCAGTTTCCAACTGTGGTTTCCCATCCCGCGGGTCATAGTTGAACTCTTGGATCGGTTCGGGCTGTCGATCAGCCAACTTTGTATCTACGGATTACAGCATTTTGTCGGGATTTTGGTGCTGGGTTACGACCGCGGTATGACTCTCAGCACATATTATCTCGAGGCTATGCTGTCGCTCAAGAGAACGAGCCAGGGTTATTACTACCTACCTCCGCGAGCGAAGATGTCGATCATTGAGGGATTTTCCTCGAATGGTCACGATTGGAAGGAGTTTTTCTTTTACGTCCGGATTGATAGTGCCTCGGTAGAGGAGAGCTGCATCCCCATGTTCAGGAGTGAATGGGGAAAAAGGGTATTTAGATTGCACATTTTTTGGGTACACTTTTTCTGAATTCTAACTTCGTGTTTGGTTTGTGTTTTGCAGCGTCCGGTCTTATTACTACGGAACCCGAAGATCTCGAACAGGTCAAGAGCCTTCTCCTTGGTGGTCCATTTTACTGGGGACACTTTTCTCCAAAGATAGTCCATCGCGCTGTTGCCTTCCGCCTTTCTTGTTTTCAGCAGAGCGAGCCTGTTAAAGTTGAGTCGGAGCCAAGGATGGAAAATGTTCCGGGAGTGAGGGAGAGGTCAAGATCTCCACAGGATAAAGGTGTTTTGGTCGACGTGAGCCAATGGTTCGATGGCTTTCAAGAGGGTCAAACCAGCGACGATGCAGAAATTGATATCCTGGATTACATGATTTCTCGGTTCCTTCATCCGATGTTAGACCAGCCGAAACGCCGTTCACGAAAGAATCGTGGCTCGTTAACAAGGTTTGTTACCCTTTGGATCAGATTATAATATAAATGTTTCTTATATTTCTAGGGTCTTCGTTTTATGAACGAGGCTGTGAATGCGAGTAACGCGGAGATTCGTTGGGCCGAGTCTAGAGCTGAGGCGGCGGAAAAAGAGGCTGCTCGTCTCAAAGAGTAGATCAACACTAACTCCTTTCGTGCTCAAGAGAGGGCCGAAAGGGAGGTTTCCCGCTTGAGGGAGGAGCACGAGGCCAATTCTCGCCGTGTAATGGAGCTTTCCGAGAAACAAGTTCGCCGTGCTCGAAGAGAGGGAAAGATAGCGGTCGCTGAGGAGGTGAAGGTTCGCCGTGAACAATTTTCGACCCAATACTTAGGGATTAAGGATGAGAAAAGGACCAACGGTGACTATTGTGAGTGTCTCGGTGTGGTTGGTGGGTTACACCTTACTCAACTCGTGGATTACTCGTATGAGAAGGATTATGCCAAGCAAAAGGCGCGCTTGGATAGGAAGGAGAAGAAGCAGTCTGAACTTCTCGACCTTGAGGCGCGAATGTGGGCGCAGTGGATCCCATTGTGGTGTCACCGTACTCGGTTGAGGTTGGGACTGGAATCCCGGAAGAATGTGGCGAGGTCGATCAGCCGGGGGCTGATGCGAATTCTGGCCAATACTCGGCGTCTGGGTTTTATGAATTTGATGATTGATGTTTTCGTCGTTTGTTGTAGTGTAATCGTTTGTAGTATTTTTATCGGGACTGACCGTTGGTGGCTTTGAATCCCTGCCGCTAAGTGACGTGTATTGGACGATGTTTATATCAGTGGAATTTATCTAAGTGCGACATCTGTTTTTTTTTTAACTGTAGAGGGAAGAATACGAGTTGTCGTCTCGTACCTAACTCTTTGTGTGGATCGTCCTATTCGGTTGCTTGCATCGGAATGTTTCGATTTTTTTGCGAGTGCTTAAATGTGAACGAAGAGACATTCCTTTAGGATCTCTATTCATGCCTTGAGACGTTATATACCATTGTGATGGATTTAGGGCAAGACCTAGGTTTACTTTCGGTTTTAAGGCTATGCGATGACTAGTCGGCTTTCATTTTGCTTGTTTCGATTTCAACCTGATTTGTACCAATTTAAAGTCCGCGATAGGTTCTCGTCTTATATGACTTGTGTGGTGAAATCAAGCATCTCCGAAGGTGCTGACAAAAGTTTTGGATTTCTTTTATAGCGCGCTATTTTATCCTAGTCGGATGTATAAGGACCAGTGGGTCGTATGCGTTTGTTTAAGACGGGAGATGTGCTTGGTGGGGCCAATCGACAAGCATTTGTGATTTTATAGTCGTGGATGGACTTGTGAATATGTCTCTAAGCCTTTATGCGACGTCTCGCTGATTATTTTCGAAATATTCATATTCACTTACTGCGAAATAATTTCCGAAAGTGTTCGGAATTCGATTTTGTTTCCGGATTATGTTTTCTGATAAAGGAGAGATTTTGCGATATTCTAACTATGTCTTTATTGAAATGTTGCGAAAATCTCGAGTACAAAGTGAATATATATTTTTTTTTAAATATGGGAGTATACGAATACTCATATACGCAGCCACTCCCCCGTTTTAGAGAGGAGGATAGCTGAACTCGTCTTTAGTCGTGCCGCCTACGTATCCCTTTCGGGAATCAAGCTATCTCGTAGTTCTGGTTGTTGGCGCGAGTGTGTTTACTTGGCTATTGCAGACGTGTCGATTGCTTTGGTCGCTGGATCGGTGTCTTTTTCCGGGTTTTTCTCCTCTGGTTGAGTAGAAGCAATGGGTTCGGAAGCTTGTTGCTTTTCGACCGTTGCAGATTCGGGGTCGTTTTCCACGGTTGGCGGAGTTGATTTCACCCGTTTCGGTTTCACGATGGCGATAGCCATTTGCCTTAGCTTATAATCTACGAAAAAGCAAGACCGCGACTGTCTTTGGCATCCCCAAATTGCTGTGGCTCCCGTAGGACTCAGGAACTTGATGCCTAAGTAGTACGTCGACATAACTGACTTCATGGCGTTTATCTAAGGCGTGCCCATGATTACGTTGTAGATGGCCGGTCGATCGATGAATGCAAAAGTAACGATCTTGGTCACTTCTTTTGAGGCCACCGGGAGTCGGATTGATTCTAGAGTCATAGCTGTTTCGCCGGAGAAACTGGTCAACGGCTTTGGTATCGGTTCGATCTCTGTTAATCCAATTCCCATTCGCGTTAAAGTGTCGCGGAAGATCATGTTGACGGTGCTTCCGGTATCAACAAGTACTCGAGCGACTTCTAAATCGCTTATGACTAGGTCGATGACGAGAGGGTCAGCATGCGGGTGGTCGACGCCGGAAGTTTCAGCCTCCTCGAAGGCGATTATACCTCTTGGAGCATCATCCGACGGTGTCGGCCAGGTAGAACCCGCCTTGGCTTTTCGTCGGTAGGACTTGATGGACGAGATGGTATCGCAGTAGTATTGCGATTCGCCGATGATCATATTGACCCTTCAGCGGTTAGCATCGTTCCCTCTCTCATCTTGTCTTCATCGGCGTTTCTCGCCCATTTGGTTCCCTTGAGGCAAAGTGTCTGCTTTCGAGTTCCTATCGGTTTTTGGGGAACGGTCCGAGTCGCGGATGAGGTCCTTTACGCTGTATACTTCGGAGAGTTCTTCCGCGAGCAGTTTTGCGGCCAGTCTTGCGCCGAGAACTTTGTAGTTAACGGTAGAATGACCGCGGGTCTGGTGGAAGTCGCAGAAGGCATTCTCGTCGTAACTCGAGTTCCTTGTCCATGTGTTCCCCGTAGTTCGCCCTTGCTCTGATCCAGAGTTGATGGCGTAGTTATGCGCCCCTTGGAGATCATGTCCCTCATGATGGACGTACTTTTCGTTACGAGGGTTTTTCTTTTTTGAATTTTGCTCAGACGCGGCGTCTTTTGCAGACGTCTTCGTCGGTTTATGTTGTTCGGCTAGGATTAGTCTCCTCTTCGATGCCGATGAAATCGGTAGCTTTGTTGAGCGTGTCTTGGATCGTACGCGGCTTCTCGAGAGTTATCCACTTTCTGAATTTCGATTTGAACCAAAGTGACTTTCTTAGCGTGTCGATGGCTGCTATGTCATTTATTCCGCTAAACCTAGCCATGATGAGTTTGAACATACTCATGAAGTCATGGAGAGGTTCGTTTTCCTTCTAGGATAGACTCCAGAGGTCGGCATCAGAGTCTCTCGGTTTATGAACACCGAGTACTACATCAGAAACTCCGAGGGAAGCTGGCG